AAATTAAACAAGATTTGCCTGAGCATTACATCCGAATTCCTTACCAAATTTGAAATAAAAATAAAATACGGAAAACAAATACTACTAATAAAAATAAAAAAAATAGAAAGAGAATTAAATGTAGTGAGTGAGTGAGCATGTTTTCGACACCGCCATCTTTGGCGATTTTTTATTTTTTTTTGGCATAACTAAATGACCTGAAAATTTACAGATATGTACTTCACATAATACAAAACCCACTAAAAAAGTTTCAAAAATTAATAAAATTGTTTAGACCCCGAACTAAAGTTTTTTTTTTTTTTTTTAGACAAACCAAACTCCATGTATTGGTGGGGAGTGTCACCTGCTGGAAACCGGGTCCAGCGTCCCATAAATACATCTTTTGAAACCTTGAATATGAACCATAATAATAAATTGTTGTGTTGAAATTCGTGCCTCTTCACCCTAATCAGGGCGTCTGAAAAACATGTCATTTCAAGCACTAGATCAACCCTATATGTATCAACAGAATAACCAAAAGCGAGGTTACCAGAACTAAGGGTTCACTCATATCCATACCAAGATCTGGGAACCAAACATAGATTCGATGGAGTAAAAAGATCAGGGAAATTCATCGGAGGCCTTAATGGAATAGCAGGATCAACTTCCATCTAGTCATTGAAGATCAAGTGGTGGTTCCTCTGAAACTCAACCTTATCATTTTCTTGTGTTCCCTCCCATTCCACCCGCCCTAACCTCCCTCCCTCATCCCCCCCAAGCCAGCTTCGATTAAATGATTTAATGTGTTGCAGGATTTCTTTTTTATGTTTCAGATATTGTATTTTTTCTTTTAGTCCTTCCAATTTGGTAAAAATCTTCGTTTGAATATGTAGCTTAATAGTTTCCGTAAACTCTGGCCCATCCAAGCGTATACCTTCCATTTCATAGGTACATCTTCGTGTCCATATTGCCCAAATAACTGCTCTCCTACCAATTGTGAACAAGTTTAATGTAAAGTCATCAATCTTAACAGGGTTCCAGGCTTCCAAGAGTATTGCCTTCCAATCCCAGGGCCACGGGAGGGTTGTTCCCAATTGATTCCAAATCCTATCCCACCAACGCCATAACCAGAATGATCCTGGACATTGGAGAAAGATGTGCTCTAATGTTCTGGTATTAGTTTGGAAAGGAAGACTGATTTATATAACTTGCACCATGGGTGAGCTATACCTCTTTATTCTAATGAGGTTCTATCTATAATCCAATCATTCGTAGGGAGGCAGCGATGGGTAATCTGCCACTGCAGAGATGCTACCTTGGCTGGGCGAGATTTAACAGAGAGAAACCATTTAACTCATTGCAATTTTTTTTTTACTTACATTTAGTTGTTTCATCCATCGATTTTCTATTCGGTCTTGTATGTTCACCTTAGGGCGAAGCATTCTGTAAGTAGATTTGACTGATAATTTGTGAAGTGATCTAGAGAAGGAATGTCCCCTTCCAACTGAACTAGACCAGGTCCAGTTTACCGGGTCAAAAGGTAGGTGAGAAATGGGTGTATCTGGTTTAAGGGTTAGCCATTTGTCTTTGATTTTTAAAACCCTGATCCGAAAGAGTTGGTCCACCTTGAACCACTCAGTGTGCTTTTGTGCCATAGGCTTAAGAAAACCATCCGCTTCCAACTCAAGAATGGACAGGAGGATATCCCTTTTATTGACGACTTCAATTATATTCCCCACTACTCCTTGTTATGCCTTGATGGTTACCCAGTCATTTGGGAGGAACTTGGGCCCTTTCTTAAGAATTCTAACCCATTCTAAAGGGATTATGTCAATTATCTGCTCCAGGGCTTCCGTCTGATGATGACAATGTCTCAAGCGCTCCTTGAGGACCGAAGAATCAATCCAGTCTCTGTTCTCACTATTCCAAATATCCCTGATACGAATAACACCTTTCTTAATCCACCCTTTCCATGGCGAGTCTTTACAATTAAGCGTACAACCATGGGTGTCTCTGATAAATGTGTTGTTAAATAATGGTTGTTGACATACTTCCTCCCATCTCTCGGGGTCTATTTTATCAGGAAGGGGGATTTTCCTCCAGGTTTTCATTAAAGTTATCCAAAAGGGATCCCTACTAAAATATTTCCTTGCGGCTTGGCGATCTGAGAGGTCCCCCTGATGAGGTTGCGCTGGAGAAGCTCTTGGAAGGGACCAGGATCGATTTTACAGCCACATAAGGGGGTATACCTCCTCTGACGTGGGTGGTGCTAACCTCCTAATTTTCTCACAAGCCAAAAGAGACCAAGGAGTCAATGGATTAAATAAGAGGCGTTTTAGCCATTGAATAGAAAGGGCCATAGCCTAGGTAGTAGGATCAATGATGCCAAGCCCACCTTTGGATTTTAGTTGGATTACAGATAATCTACGTAGCACCGTGTTCGCGTTCGGAGGCGAACGCGAGCATGTTCGCCCGAACGCGAACAAGCGCCCAAAACCCTTCAAACGCGAACATAAAAATAAATAAAAAAACAAAAAAAAACAAAATCTTAGAAAAATCTGAAAAAAATATACGTTATGTAAAATAACAAAACAAGCAACTTTTGCCTTGGAGTCATGCTCAAATTCGTAACCAATCATGAGTTAAAAATAAAAAACCGTTTATTTTTTTTTTTATTTTGTTTTTATGAAAAATAAATATGTTCGCCCGAACATGTTTGCGAGCTGTTCGGGCGAACGCGCGAGCACGTTCGCGCGAACATGAAGGGGTGCGAACATGTTTGCCGTGCTACGCAACAGATAATCATGCCACCCTATGAATAACATTTTCACATTCATGATTCCCTCGCCATAAGAATGTCGCTAATTGACGTTGA